CCTCTATAGTAGGTACCTGGACATTTATACGATAATTATAATACGGACCCACACCCCCACTATATTACAGGTAATTATTTGGGCCCCTATACTATTTTCGTGCGTGATATTTCTGGCGGCTGCTGAGTCATGGTTGACAGTACAGCCATCGGCTGCGGTTTAGGCTTTGGTTGAGGATAGGGCGGTGGATTCGAAGTTGAGGCTTCTGTTTGGAGACAGGTAATGTAGCGGCCTTAATAATTAGAATAGGGTTTTGAGGGTATCTTATGCAATAATCATGATAAGGAACCCCGAAATAGTATAGGTAATTATTTAGGCCCCTACATTACTACAGACTCCTGTGCTTCTCGGATTTGTTGCTCAGCTATGTCCACCTGCCGAAGAGCTTTTAACTGATGTAGGGCTTCGGACATGCCACCTCCAATCATCACTGCAGCAGCTGCATACACCCTTCCAATGAAACATCTCCTAAACTTCAACACCCAGCCATGGAAGCAAAACATGTGTATGTGTGCGCGTGGACCTTGACCATGCGAATACCGAACAAACCGTTCAACCACCTGACAATCGACTGCCGCATCAAACACTTCGTACCTCAGCCCCCAGACGTATATAGAATAGTAGTCTTTATATGGGTGTTGCTTCTGGGGCTTGGGCAAGCTCATGCAAGCTCTAAACCCCACAACCCCAAATTGCTCCATCCTGAACTCTTCAACACGAATTCCTGCATCCTGAGCCCGTGGAAATGTTTAGGGTTTAGGGTTTAGGGTCCTTAAAATATCTTCAGACCCAAAGCCCTAAACCCTACACCCTAAACCCTGAAAGCTAAAACCACAAGATACTCCAAGAGCGGAAAGAGCCGAAAGCCCGGGCTCCGGACAGCGATACCTTTGCCCTCCACGTCCTCTCCCACCTCTCCTGTTGAAAGGATCATGGGACTTAGTAACGTAGGTTATTATTAGGCTAACTATACTTATAACTACTTGTAATCCCAATTAGGGTACTTCTAACCATACTTACTAAGTCCCATGATCCTCCATGTATCAGAGAGTCTGGATTTAGGGCTATGGGCTGTCAAGGTCAAAGCTTTGGGGGAAGGCTATGACAGTATCCTAAACCATCAAGTGGGGGCTTGTCCATCTACCTCCTTTGGACGTAGGTTAGAATCTTAGACAACATGAACGTATGCAGCATACACTTGGTCCATGCTATTCCTATGCTCGGTCCCATTAAGGCCAATGTTTTGCCTGTCGTAGGTGCTTGGGTGCTAGGGTAAGCGGCTTCAATGTCCGGGGTCTAACCGAAGCAAGTTGAAAGAGCATTCGGTTCGCAAAGAAGTGCGATGAACAGTTGCATGCGCAAGCGCTGCTCTAAGTTAGTGGCTCGTCAACATAAATTGATGGGAGGCCAGGTACCTCAATGCGAAACCGATCATAATCTAGTGCGACCATGACTGCTACTACTGTAAATCCTGCTCCTCCTGCTGCTCCTGCTCGTGCTGCTGCGGCTGCTGCTCCGAGTGCTGCTGCTGCTGCCGCCGCTGCTCCGAACTACTACTACTACTACGACTACGA